GATTCAGCAAAGTCGTTGACTGAATGTCAATTCGTGCTTGCATCTTTGTGATTGGTCGTTTTTTGTACTAGGTTGGCTCAAGGCAATAATAGGAATGAGCCGCTCCCCACTAGTAACGGAAATTTAACATTTACTATCCTGTTTCCCAGAGAATGCCCGTCCCAAACTTCACTGGATACGCGCCCATGTGGACGCACTGGGCAATGAAGCAGCCGAGCAGTTGGCAAAAGAGAGAGCAAACGGGCAACTTGCCCCAGCCATCTCTTTCCATTATCACATCTTTAAATCAAGACTGGAACTGGACTTTATGTCTCAATAGAAAAGTAACTGGACACAAGAGCTAACAGGCAAGAGTACATTTAACTTCCTCCCAGTGCCCTCAAAGGAATTAACCACTTAGGCAATGACATATTTCTTGACGGCGCATGGCCCTTTTGCAGCCTATTTGTTTCACTTCGAATTGCACTACACAGATTCATGCATATGATCAACAGGTACCAGCAATCACTATATCGATTACTATTTCAACTGCGAAATCACCAAAGACCTACATTTCCGGCCGTATACAACTGAAAATGTCCAGGTATGGCTGAAACAACTCCAAAAGAATAAGGTTATCAGGACTGTAACTCCTGCAGTATATTTAATCTAAGACTAGCTGGGATAACAGTTCGAAATTCGTTGTTGGAATTCGTAGTTTTTATATAAAATAATAGACCATCTATTAGTTCGTAATGGGCCGCCCTATTTCTTATCGCCACAATATCTTGGTGGCTAAAATTTTCAGGATCCTTTAAATAATCATAAATTTTTAAATTCAGGATCCTTACCCCAGTTCGGTTATTACAGTTTCTCGGGAATGTATCGTACATGCTGTGAGCATTGCCACCTTTACAGTATTACCTTCTTCATCTATTTTTATTCTGGATAGGGCATCTGCTACGATATTTTCCTTTCCGGGGGTGTGCTTGATTACCAAATTATACTCTTGTAACTTGAGTGCCCATCTTATTAACCTTGGGGATAAGATTTTCCCTGAGTACAATCTAGTTACCGCCGCATGATCAGAATACACTGTTATTGGCGTCTTTTCAAAATAGACTCGGAACTTTTGCTCTGCTAACAGAACTGCAAGTGCCACTCTCTCAGTCGCGGAATAATTTCTTTGTGTTTGATTTAAAGTTCTACTAAAAAATGCCACGGGTTGCTGATTTTGCGAAAGTACCGCTCCTACAGCATAATCCGAAGCATCCGCTGAAATTTCTAAATTCTCATCCTTTTCAGGAAATTTAAAAACCGGGGCTTGCGTTAATGCTTGCTTTAATTTTTCAAAAGCACTATTGGCTTTCGGCCGTCCACGAGAATCTTGCCTTTTTCCTTTTTAAATTTTAACAATGGTTCAGCAATAGCTGCAAAATCTTTTATAAAGGACCTATAATATGAACAAAGTCCTAGAAAAGAAGAGAGCTTCTTCGCGGTATTTGCGGCGGATACTTTTGCACAGCGATTATTTTTGATTCGTCCGTCTCGATTCCTTTCTGAGATATTTTGTAACCTAAGTATTTTAATTCAAAGGCTGCAAATTTGCACTTTTCGACATTAACTTTTAGACCGGCCTCATTTAATAATAAAAACACCTGTCTTAAATCCTGTACATGTTGGTCCAGATTATCACTAGTAATAATGATATCGTCTAAATAGATAAATGTGGTCTTTCCTAGAACAGGCCTTAGCACAATGTCCATACATCGCTGAAATGTTGCCGGTGCCCCTGAAAGGCCAAACGGCATACGCAAGAATGCATAAGTGCCAGACTTGGTTATAAAAGCAGTCTTAGGCACATCTTCTGGTTTTACACCTATTTGAAAATAACCAGTCGTTAAGTCTAACGTAGTCATATATTTCGTAGAAGTTATGTTTCCTTAAAATTTCTTCAATAATAGGTAACGGATATACCGGATATTTAGTCATGGAGTTTAATTTACGATAGTCAATTGCAAAACGCCACCTTTTCGGATGTGTTACTGGATAGTCATTATTTTTCTTACATAACAAAACCGGGCTAGCGTAACTACTTGAGATGGGCGTTATGATCTTTTTACGTAACATATCTCGAATGTGCCACTCTATAATTTTTTCTTTATTCTTATCATACCGATACGGTTTATGGCGAATTGGCAGTGAATCTAATGTGTCGATACTATGGTTAGTAACTTGAGTAAATCCGGGAATATCACTAAATAACGAAACAAATTCACTTACCACTTGTCGAATTTTTTGTTGCTCTCCCTTAGGCAGGTGGTTGAGGTTTAATGTGGGTGGCTCTCTTTTTTTCTTCCCGAACTGGTTGCATGGTCAGCTTAAGGGACGCTTGGTTGAAATCCAGCGTTGCTTCTGCCTCTGAAAGAAAATCTATCCCTAAAATGACATGTGCTTGTAAATTTTTTACGATAAAAAACATGATCTTTACTTGCTCGTCCTTGATGCGAATATATATTGGTATTTTACCTATGCATTTGCATCTTTCTCCCTGCGCAGCTAACACTGTCGTATTATCCGAATTATATATTCTGTGGCTACGGAAATACTTCCTAAAAAAATCTTCTGCCACACAGGAACACTGCGCGCCTGTATCCAGGATTGCGGTGGCTGGGATGTTGTTCACCAAAACTTCAATCTTTGGAAGAGTCAAATTTTTTACAATAACTGTATTTAACTTGAAGGAAGAGGGGTTTTCTTGGCCTTCGGATTTCCGCACCCTCCCGTCAGCAGAAATCCGTTTTAGTTTAAATTTTCTTTCTTCCTTTCCATGCCTTTCTTCTTTTTCCGCTGGCCTTCAGACTTTTTTCTGGCTTACTATTGAACTGTCGACGTTCGCCGGTTGTTTTTGGATACTCAGGTTTCCTTGTCCACTGATTCGATTTGCTTCCGTAGCCGTGTTCTTGCCTTTGCTGTGGTCTTGGCGCACCAAATTGGCTTCGTTGCTTATACTGCCGTCTTCTTTCAATGTCCGCCGTTCTTCTACTTTCAAACTGGATTGCTAGCTCAAATACCTTTTCCAGTGTAGTCGGATTCCTTAATTCAATAAAGTCTTGTACTTGGGGAAGTAACCTCGGCAAAATCACTTGGATTATCTCAGGATCCGGACGGCTTCCATACAAGAGTTTAAAGATGTGAATTTTTCTTAAAATAAAGCTTGAGAGATTTTCAATTCGCTGCTGGTATATGCTGAAGAGTTCCGCTTCTAATTTGGAACGATTTGTTACGACAGGGAAGGCTTTTACTAAGGCAGTCTTGAAATCTTCCTAAGTATAGGTGGGGGCTTCCCGCTTGACCCAAGAGGTTTCTGCCTATACATTTGAACCAATTAAGCGCTTGGCCCCTCAAAGCGCTGGTAGCTAAGGTGACTTTCTGGAATTCATGGACTGGATACAGCATGAAGTGGTCATCCAATTTTTCCAAAAAACTGGTTACCGGTGAGTTTCCATTGAATGTTGCTTCTGGTTTCATCGATGCGCGCATGGTCTGGACGATGTAACCAAATCCTTCCAGGGCGGCAGCTGGCATTTCTGGATTCTGATCCCCTTCTGCAGGCACCACAGGTTCTTCTTGAAACTCGGCCATGTTTATTCTTCTTCGTCGGGCGCCACTATCAGGACTTGTGTTCCTCTTTACTTGCCTTGGAAACATGAACTGTCCTGACTCGGAACAGGGAGCTTACTCAAGCTATGTTCAATAAATTGCGAAGTAGACAATACACCCAGGAAGGGTATACGAAACCCTTTATTTTTCTATCCTTCCAGAGATTTCCGGAACTTCGGAATACAGAGACCAACCACTTGTGGTCTGAACGTAAGAATATAAAACTACTAACTAAAACTCTAACTAAACTAACTTTGGATTAATATACAAGTGCCTAACTTTAAGATTGGCCTTTATTTAACAAAAATCCGTATGTAGTACAGAGAACTGCTAAAACTACGATACGTTTAAAATTATCAAGAGGATTAAACCTCTGGCCTTGAAGGCAACCAGCAACAGAGTAAAACTACTATGGCAAGCGGCCTGCTTCTAATAACTCCTTCCTCTCTGTTCTTGGCAAAAATCCACAACTTAAGTACTTGGCGTTAGCAAGACAATTTTGCATAAATAAGTTAAAGCTTTTAATTCTGGCCGGAAGTAGAAAATAAGAAGTGATAGTAAAGATTTAAAATAAAATAAACGTTAGTAAAACTTAGGATCCTTACAAGGTACTACGAAACAAACTTAAAACTCTCATAGACTACTTGGCAATGAATTGCGAAAATATAAAAGCAATTTAAATTTTAAGTATACCATTCCGTACAATTAAAGTCTTGACATGGTCTCTTTAATAACCATAGTTCACAAATACCCATCTTCCGAAGTAACTTTATAAATTCCGCTACAAATTTTAATATTCTATAAAGATTCTTGGCTAGCTATAGCGACAATAGAATGCTCCACCAATTGATAAATTGAGTACAAAGGCTAACGGTCATATAACAGGCGGTACACAGCAACTCAGCTAGTAGTAAGTAAGTATACTGAGGAAGAGGAAAGTTATGCAAATATACTTTTTAAATTTTCAGAACCTGGCGATAAAATTCTAGGGTGAAAAATAGGCAAGAAAATACGGTATGCATTTGGAATTAAAATAATCGACTATCAAAACTGCGACTCATCGATATAACTACAGAAGTACAACATTTCTCGAATGCGCATGACACACATGATCGAATATGCACATCCGTGCATATGGAAAGGATCTTATTTTAATAGTTGTGCCAGTATCGTCAAAAATCTGTAGATGACATATGAAACATGAGTTTTCACGTGCATCTGAGAAATTTAAAATTTTGCTACAGCGCAGATCATCTATAATTTTCGTTTGCAAGAAATGTAAAAAAAATCTTTTCGAGCCGCATACATAAAACAGGAAAGTACGAGGCGACCAGCAAAACAAAAAACAAAGCATCAAATTGTTTTTTATCATTTATTACATCGTTTTATATATACATATGTACATTTTCTATTACAAGGTGGACCAACTTTCATAGGAATCATACTGCTTAACGAACCGATACTCGGCTGCCTTTTCGTTCCTTACATGCTTCCTCTGCAAAGTAGCGCCATCCACATTCTCTATTTTCAACAAACCAAGTACGTAATAAATCAATATTGCTAAATCATAAAATTTTAAATATTATTTAAACACATGAAATAGCAAATAACAATCAAGTAATGTTTAAATACATTAAATCAACTTACAGTTTAATTACTAAACATGAATAAAACATGAATAAATTACACTGAAATCAAAATTCGCAATAATCATTCAACATAGAACGTTTAATAACAATCAATAAAGATACTCAGAAAACTATATATATGTAAAGCAACTAAATTAGATTATTACACAGTTTCTCTTCACTACTAATTACTGTCTCTCTACGTTACTTGTTCGAGTTTTTATGAGACAGGAGCGAACCTGACTATGTCTGCTTAGATGAATTTCTATTATCTTACCTGTTGTCGCCAGATTCCTAGGTAAGCGGTCGTTATATACAAAAACAATATCATCAACTTTAAACTGACCGAACACTTTACTAGGTGGACATAAATTCATAGACCTTAAATAAAACAAATAATGCTTTCTCTAGCGATTCCGAAAATGGTCTAACGAGGTTTATTAATGTTTATACTTTTTGATGAAGGAATGGCTAGACCCAATCAGGTCTTCTCTGCACACTCTTGTAACTGGAAGAGAAAATAAAAGTTTACCAATTAAGAAAAGAGTAGGATTTAGTGGTGAGGGCCCTGAAAGATCATCGTAGATGCATGTTATGGCCCTTGAATTAGTTATGGCTTCACTTTCAACGAAAACCGTTTCTAGCTCATTCAGACAGAGACTAGAACGCCTAACTATTTTTCTTGCACAAGTTTTGATAGTTCTAAAACGCGTCTCTTGGAACCCTCCCACAATTCTACTTTTTTCAACAATACATTTCCATTTTATACCGTGGGAGGAAAACAAATTTTGTACAGATTGACATTGAATACACTTCAAGATGTTTCGCAACTCGAAATCAGCGCACTTGAATGTCTTGGTATTGTCCGAGTCCATCGTTGAGTACAATCAGTAACGAGAAATAAATCTGCAGAATTCAAGCATAAAGTTCTCTGCGCTCACAGAAGGGATAAGTGTAAGGCTCGAGTAGTAGCACATGTAATAATAGCAGATAATGATTATCCCTTGCTGTTCTTTGCGAAAATCACTTATTTAACATGGATTTCATGAATTTGACGAATTGGAATTCCTTTTATAATCCAAACCATTGCTCTAATTTGAGCAACGGTTCCTTTTCTTTTATAATCCAAACCTTTGCTCTAATTTGAGCAACGGTAGCTTCAACTTCAGTTAGTTAATATAAGCAGTTTATTATGAAACTTTATAAGACTAATAACTCACTATATTTATCTTTATAAGGTAATAACCATGGATGTTTTTCTCCGAAATCAAGATCGCAGAACTGACGTCTGCCCTTTTAAACGCAGAAGACCATGGGTATCCAATTCTGGCTCAAGAAAATAAACTGTAGATATCTTATCTAAAAGATCTTGAAAGGTCTAGAATCTCTTTCGCAAAGTGTTTTTGCTGCATAACTTTCACTCAGTAGAGATTCAGATTCGGGTAAATCTAGTAATTCTGAAATTTATATTACTTGAATAGAAACTTAAAGAGAAGTTTGCTCCCTTGTTTCGTTCTGAACGCTCGCATTGTCGATATCTTAATTTACTGGCCAAACACTTTCTCGTGCGAGTACTAGCTATAACAAAGGGAACTTCTTACAATGTTTAAAGCACTTCCTCAGTGAAATAATAAGTCAGCAGAGTTTTCTTTCTTATTGAAGTGAAACCACCATTTAGGATCCGTGAGTGACGGAAGCTAAGAAACTCTGTTTGACACAAAGAACTTCCAGTTTCTAGCACTTTCCTTTATCCAGTAGATATCTATAAGGATGCCACTCCAAAGAACTGTAATGGCAAAGTTAAGGAAACAAATATGTTAAATACGTAAATAATTTGGCACTTTACAAAGCAGCCATCAATTCCAAACGAGGAAGAGTCACAGTCTTGAATAGAGCCACGCGACCTTTAACCGCAACGAAACTAGTGCAAATGTTATTTTTTGAATCAAGGTAGCTAAAATATCCTACAGCGCCGTACGCTTTAAGGCTACCGTCAGCGAATACATGGAGACTAACAGTAGATTCTTCACAACTGTCAAAATAATTTATCTGAAGAGAAAAAGTCTCCAAACACCTTTAATTCTGCTCGCCAGTGAAACCATTCCTGATTTATTCTAATGGAAGAGTATCATCCCAGTTCACACGTAATGCCCAAATATTTTGTAAGATGAATTTCGTTTTCATCAAAAAATATAGAAACACATCTATGGAAACGTAAACACTGGCCACCATTTGGAGAATAGTTCTTTTTGTAGCCTCAACACAGTCTTATGATAATTTTCCTAAAAACTCGCAACTAATTCTGATCTTGTCTGTTTTGGGGCTCCAGATCATGCCCCAAAATTTTGAACCTTTAGTTAACTCTAGATTGCAACCATTTTCAATCCACCACAAATTCAGTTCCTCGGAATTTGACCTTAATTTTATAAGATTCCTCTCGGCTTCTTTCAAAATCTTAACCGCGTTTGAGGATAATCGACATGCATCTTCAATAGTATCTGCACCGTAGTAAAAAGTGTCTGCATATAACGAGAAATCTAATATTTCATAAATTTCATGATTTGCGTCTTTATATATTTTAATGTGCAATTTTATCCTCAGCGCTAAAATTGCTGGACTAGACCAAAGCCCGAATGAAAGACTTTTATTATCTCCGAACCCAAAAATTTTTAAATAATCCCTATCCTTTTTCAAGATTACTATCATTAAAAAGGTCTTAGCTTTGCCTCGGCTGAAACCAGTTTCATATTTACGAAATTTCATAATTATGTCCTAAACCTTTGGGATCAAATTATGTTCAATGTTTAGAAAATAATTTAAGGAATTTACACCTTTAACTCTAGAATATCTGGTACAATAAAAAAGCCTACAGCTTCTAGTTTCCTTGGGTTTTTATTATTTCCATGTGCGGCATAAAATACGATGATTCGGTTATTTTCTGCGAACAGTTCTCAACTATACCCTTCTTCCTTTGTTCCTCAATTACGAATTGATACTACTGATAAAATCTTAGGATTTCTACTAAATCTATTTTTGAGATTTTCAAATCCCTTTAATGCTATTTAGAAATTATTTTATAATTGTCCTGCTTCCGATTTCCATAATAAGCCAAAATAGTAGCATCTAAACCCTATTCGTCTTTCGAAGCTCTTAATCATTCCTTTTTTCTCATGAGAAATCGCAAGCCATCGGTAAAGCCCATCAAATCGAAAGTTCTTATCGGATTCAATGAATCGGTTACGCAAAAAGAAAAGCTCACTATTGCAGTATTTCCGAGAAACTATTCCGTTCTCTTGATCTTGAAGGCCAACCGAGAACCATCCAAAGATATTAGAAATCGCAAAAATTTACTTCCCTAGCTGAATCATTTCCCCCTTACCATTTTCCAATAATAATCAACACCTATTAAAATTCCAACGTTTCTTCCAGCTAAACAAGCAATTAACAATCCGCGCTCATTCATCATTTTCGGTATTTGTTTTGATGGTGCGAATATTTGCGCAGCGTCAGTGACGAGACAGCTAATTTTTATTTTGTTCTTTTACTTTGCATTTGAAAGATAAATTTTGACAACATTCCGCTAATTTATGACACGCTTCACTGCACTAATATGAGCAAAACTTCGTGTAGCATCATAATCAAAAATTAAATTAGTCAACTCACATCTACCGTCATAATCAGCCAACACTAAGCATGTTTGTAATTTAAGCATTTTTTTTATAAGAGTTATTACATGGAATAATAGAAAGAGTGCGTTTTTAGGGGACTTTTGTTTTTCATTTCCCTCTAAGGAATTTGTTTTCATTGTTTTCATATAATTTTTTTACGTTCGTCTTTTGTTACATCTTAAACTATTCGTGCAGAGTGACTCATGATGCAATATAAACTGGCATTTTAAACAATTAGTTTTATTCCTACAGAATTTCTAGATGTCATATATTCGAAAAGAAATAAAGCATCTATCTTCGTTACATTTTACTTCGTTATTTCGCTACACAGTATGTTGTTTTACTTCCTTGTACGAAGTAAAGGAAGTATTGTAATCGCGAATAATTTCGGGTATCATATTTCAACAAAAATATTTATTTCAAACGTTCTCAAATTCATTTAAACGATGTTTTTACGTGACATCTGTACGTACGGACAGAATAAAGGACTCTTTTTCCGAAGCTTGTTGTAAAATAGGTTTAAAATGAATTAAATTTAAGAGTTTTTTTCGTGATGTCTGTACGCACGTATGCACGCAAGTTTCTCACATAAATCAAAAACAAGTTAACTCACAACGTCGAAATTTTGTACATAGAACATGTAACTTTTTGGTTGCAATCGGCCGTACCAAACGTGTGTATATATATATCACTAGCGCTCCAGGAATGCGTTTTCGATCATGCATTGCCATGTGTGTAGAGACATTAGGCTAATTGGAAGCAAAAAAAATTGAAAATAAACAACGCCTTTGGGAATCGAACCACGAACTTCTGGAACATGCGCCCAGCGTGCAGACCACTACACCGCGAAGGCACGCCAAGAAGGCGGGAGAAATACTTTATATACCCCCCTTTAAAGAGCGACTGGGGTTTAGGGGGACCCAATCGCCAAATCCTGGGCGTGGAGAATCATCATCCACCACGTTTTTAGTTCGGGAGCCACTGTAGAGACATTAGGTACTTTTAGAAACAGGAGAAATGAAAAATGAGCAACGCCTTCGCCGGGAATCGAACCGCGGACCTCTGAAATAAGCGCCTAGAGTGCAGACCACTACACCACGAAGGCACGTTAAGAAGGCGGGAGAAATTCTTTGTATGTGTTTCTCCATCGTCTAGGTGTACTCTATATATCCTGAAAGTTTGTAACCTCTTTGCTGAAACGCCCAGTATATATATATGAATTATA